AAAGCACCAATGAAAGAAAGCAGGGGCCAGCTACCACTGCGCAAGTGCCAGTCTGCAGATCCAGCCTAACAAAGACCTCTTCTGAGCTCTGCAGCAGCTGATCCTTATTTCAGTGTTTCCTGAACCTGTACTCACAAGGACTAGAAACTTTTCTCAAAGTGAGTTGAAGACTCAGTGGAAATCCAAGACTGCTTGCCACCCATCTCACAAAGCTTCCTACTGGCCAGAGGCCCAAAAGAAGCAGTATTCCCCTATGGAATAGAAAATTGCACTCTAAATCAAGAGATGTTAAGAACAGGCTCAGTAATTAAGTCTGAACTAAATTTCATTTCTGTCAGCTCTTAAAACCAGTTCTTTCATTACTTCATTCCTGCCCTCCTAACAGGAGGGAGGATCAGCTTTGTGGCTCCTCAGACTTTCCAGCCTTCCCTTCCCAGTCAGAGCAAGTGGGGGCTATTCAAGTTTTTGCCTTGCTCCTCCTGGCTCCCCACGGGTGCTGGAATGTAAAGAATAGCTCTAGCACAATGTACTCCAGTTTTGCTGCTGCTGCCAAGGCTGGAAGCAGAGGCAGTGCAGAACAATTACACGCAAAGTTTGGGTATTATCCAGGGGAAGCTTAAAATTCGCTCATTCTGTTGCAGCACTTCCTCTTGAGATATCAAGGCTTTTGCCTTCAAGACCAAAGAATGAGCAACATTGAAAGCTGAAGAGACACCCCCCCCAAACAAAATGAACTTTAAAAGGAGGTGGTATTTGAAGATGACAGGTACAAAACGCATCAAGAAGCAGTACCACAAAGTATTTTGCAACATTCTGCACCTCCATTTGCTCAATGCACTCTTCAAAACGCACCAATATTACACACAAGCCACATGTTCACTGTTTTTGTTTCATAGCACACCTGAGCTAATACTGCCCATCACTTTTCAGCTTTTCAACCTTTCTGCACAAACAGTAGCTACAGATATCAGCGATTACTGCACTGAGCCACAAAGCGAGAATAATTTTCACACACCACGGAAATGTGACTTGTAAAGGAAACAACAGCTTGCACCTCATGTTTTCCTTCCAACCTCAGTGCACATCAAGAAAAGCTGAGGATTTTTTTTTATTCTTCTGTAGCAGGATGAAAGAAAGATTTAATGCTTCAAGTAGTTCACACACCAAATAGTAAGAGAAGTTTTAATTTCCTTTGAAGACTATGGATAGGTACAGAAGTAGCCACACATAACATAGCAAAAATGGAAGTAGGAGAAACTGGATTAATGGGGAAGTTTGGGTGGAGGGGAAGGTATTCTGCTACAAAGCTCTTGCTCTTTTGAGTACACAGGTGGTAAAAATTAGAGACTCTGAAAACCAAAAAACCGTGTACATTCAGTTACCCCATAAATTAATTTCCCAATATTATTTACTATCTTCCCTATAAGGCCAGAGAAATCAATGAACAAATTACTCAAAAAATGACAAGTTGTCATAAGCTTGATGAATTTAACTCCACTTAAACACACAGTGCACATTTCAACTGATTTAGCTAAAACATTGCAACCATCTGTAAGGAAAGATGTTTGTAAAAGGTATTTCAAGGAATCTTGAGCCTGTTCCTAAAATGCACTTAACTAGGGAGACACAGCAGAGTATATCTCATCATACACATGGTAAAAATAACCTTTCATGCCTTAGTAAAATAACCTTAATGTTAAGGTAGAAAGACAAATAAACCAAGATGCTGTGCTACAGTTCAAGCTATACAGTGGAGAAAAAGAAACGTCAAACAAGAGCCTTTCCCCACAAGCCCTTTGAGTCAATGATGTGGACCACCTCATGTACATGTTCCATCTTCAAACAGCCAATCTCACCGCATCCTCTTCCAAACCAAAATACTTGAACCAATCTCCAGCAGCTTATGAAGCAACACGTAAGAAGAAAAAAAAAAAAACCAACAAAAAAAAAACCAACAAACCCAAATCAGTCAAAGCAGTGTATGAGAACTTTACCAAGCCTGTCTTGGGAGAACAGATCAAACCTTTACTGAAAGGCACTAATCGTGGTGTGCCCAGAAACTAACAATGAAAACAAGCCAGGATAAAAGTGTTAATGACACAAAGAAGCTATCATTAAAAAAAAAAAAAAAAAAAAAAACCTCTTCACAGTCCCTGCCTTCTATCCAAAAACAATAACACGGGGAAGAAAGCAATCATGTGAAATGCTCTAAAACTCTCTGCATGTAAGCTTTCAAAGGTCTGAGGAGACAGTGAAAGAGAAGCATCTCAAGCACTTGCCCCTGCAAATGAGACCCACCACCCCATCAGCTACTGTATTTTCCTCCTCAGTGAGGCAACTCCCCTGTGTAGTTGCTAAAGCTACTATTCAGCAGCACACACAGTACATACATACTTCATAACTACACAGTTATACTACAGTACATAGTATCTCACCAATCACCTTTTATAGCCAGAACACCGTAACTCGCCTATTTCCGCACTTGCTCACAACTCAGAACTCAGGCACTTGTGATCTTCCTGCCAGCTTTCAGGTCTGGCTGTCCTGCCTACATGCTCTGCAGCTGCTCCCAAAGGCACCTTAGCAACAAGGAACTGATCCCACAGAGAAACTTTCCTGCTAGTTTTGAACAGGGGCATATTTTAACATGGGGAGTCTCACAAGTCTCAAAGGAGGATTCATACATCCAACAAGCAAGAGAGGTCTCCTACAGCCAGAATGACCGTTAGGGAGATCATGGATTTACCCACGTTTAAAACTATAGCCTTAAGTTTAAGAAATAAATTGACTTGCAGAGAGACAGACATGCTAAAGAAGCAGGTACTGCATCAAGAAAGATGCAAAGGAAGATTCACAGATTTATTTCACGTGAGAAGAATAAAAACAAGGATACAGTTGTGCTATCTTACATGTGGATGGAAAGTAATTTTAGTTTCAGTTCTATGAGCTAATCAGATAAGAATATATCCTATTCGGAAATGGACGGGTAGGAAGCCTCACTCCATACACATTTCCTTTAAGCCTACTCTGAATGTAGCTTTTTAAGTCCAGTACCATGGCATTCACCACAAAGTATATATATATTTTTAATGAGCAATCTTTTTAGACAGTCCAGCTAAAACAGAATTGCCAGGTTAAAACAAGCAATTTCATCCCATCACAAAGTCTGTCCTTTCTAAATTGTTTTGTAACCATATACTATGGAAGAACAGATTGGCATAAAGCGGGTAATGGGAGGGACAAAACCTGAAGAAACCTGGACAGAAAGTTTCCGTTGGGTAGCAGGCGCACAACAGTTGAGCTGTTCATCTCGCTGGAAATTTTAATTTGCGAGAGGACAGCAAGCCTGACCTCACAGTTTGCGATACCTAAAATAGAAGCACCACCCCCACTGCCAGAAAATAATCCAAAGACTTCTTTTTCTTAAAAAAACAAACAACAAAAAAACAACACAATCCCCCCCCCCCCCCCAAAGAGAACATAGAACTCCCAGGGTTTGTTTCTTCCCTAAACTACAAGCAATGGATTCGCATAGCTTCAGGCTGAGTCTACCCACAGAGCCATTGTTCCTTCCCCTAGGCCTTGGGCATTTCCAAGGGGCAGTCAGTCTCTCCCTTTCGGTGCCCCCAGTAAAAGCAATCCTTTATCAGAACCTGCCTGACCGGCAGCCATGGCAACACGCTGGGATTACCAGAGCCAAGCATCTCAGCAGAAGCCACGAGTCTCCCCTTAAATTCCATTTACGGACCGCTGCCGGCCGCCGCCGCTAGCTCTGACTGGAGACTCCCCCTGCGCGGGGCTGCGCGTCTGGCTTGTGCCCGCTTTCCCCTTGCCCTGCCCAGCTCTTGAGCCCCGCGCCCCACCACCACCGGCCCCCGCCCCGTAAACACCCGCCGGGCCCCACCGCGACTCACCGCTCGCGGGGGCCGCGAGGCCGCCGCGGGGCGGCTCTCGGGGCCAGCAGCATGCGGCCCGGCGGCTGGCCGCGGGGCTGGGACCGGCTCCGCCTGCCTCCCACCAGCGGGGCTGCTCCAGGAGGCCGGAGAGAAGCGAACGGCTTTCCCCCCAGCCAAACTCCTTCCCGGAGGAGCCGCTGGGGTAACAGGGACGGCCCCTCCCCTCATATCCCCCAACCCCGAGCCGCCTACCTGGCTAGGTGACGGCCGGCAGCCCGCCGGACCCTCCTCGGCGCTGCCGCTTCCTCCTGCTGCCCAGCGGCGGCTGGAGCGAGGCCCTGGTGCCCGCGGCTGCCCCCGCCGCCCGCTGGGAAGCGCCCCCCCCCAGGGGGGCCCTTTGCCGACCAGGGTCGAGAGCCGGCCCCGCATGCGGCCCCTCAGCACAGTCGGTCCCTGCACCGGGCGCGTGTATGGGGAATCAAGCGCAATCAAGCTCCTCCAGCGAGCCGGGCGGCGGCAGAGCTTCAGCTTCAGTCAGGGTCATCCCCAGCGGTAACCGGGTCCCTGCGACGCCGCGATGTTAATTTTTACCAGGAAGTTCCCAGGAACCTCTGGGAAAGGTCTGGGACATCTCATCTCACCAGCCCTCAAACCGATTAAAACTGTATTCCCTTCAAAGGAAGCTTGTAGAGGCAGGCTTCATCTCTTTGGAAATTCAATTAATTCCTTGAATGCTTTCACCCAGAAGCACGCTGATGTATTCGAATAGCCAGCTCTTCCTTTGAATATGTAGTCATTTACATTAAATAACAATTTTGTTGGCAGCTGCTGCCATCAGTACTTACCTGAAGGAGGTTTTAAAATTGGAAACACACGTAGGCTTTACACGAGGGTAGCTGGAAGGTTTCCCGGCTTGAAATAACGCAAGAGCGTGGTGGGAAGGAAGATGGATGGCTCACGGCAAGAACACCGGCAAACCCGAGAATAAGGGCTTTCGGCGTGCCCGATCGTACGGGTTCGGGCACCATCCACGAGATCCTCTCACCCAATGCTCTTTACAGAGCTCGCTACGGTTTATAAAGTAGAGGAGAGGTGTTCACTTACCAGTTGTCAACACACCAGATGTTTTAAGTCATCTGAGCAAAGGGGACAGGACTTGCCGCTTATCAGGGCCGCTCAGGCTGCTATCGGCCTTAATCCCGCCCGGCGGTGTTTACCGTGAGGATGAAGAAGAGAGCTGGTTCCAGCTGAGCCCCGTCTGCAAAAGAAAACGTCAAAGGCAGCACGTTGTGTGTTTAGACAGACATGATACTCAGCTCGAGTCTGCTGAAATTCCTCCTCGAATTATAAAACCAAAGCCCTCCAGGGAGAGGAGAGACTCACGTGAAGAAAACTAAAGCGTTGCTCCGTCTCCCCTCAATAATGACCGTGTCTTCTCTGACTAACTTCAGCTGCAGACACTCTTTCTCTTTCCTCCTCCCCTGGGCCGCAGCCGTCCCCCTCCGCGCCTGCTCCGCCAGCCCGGGGGAGGCGGGAGACCCACAAAGCGAGGGGCAGAACCTCCCTCAAACCCCTCTGAGCCTTTCCCACCCCGCCAGCCCCTCCCCAGCCTCCAGGAATTAAACTGATTGTCACCTAGGGGAGATAAGGGGAGGGGGAAACCACGCAAGCTGAAAGCCACAACGGTTATTTCAGGTGGAGGATTCTTACCCGATACCTCGCCCCCTTCTAGCCAAGCCCCAGCGAATGCCATTAGGGGATCAACTAATCCCCTGAAGAGCTCGAAAAACGGAACCCCACCCTGTATGACCAGTACAGGAGAGGGTCATGGGGCTCCTGGAAAACTCTTCACACTAGGACAGCCAGCCACGCGGGCCTGGGTGTTACTGTTTGAAAATGAAGGTTAATAAGTAATTCTGTCAGTGATAAAGGGGGTGGGAAAAAAAATATTTTATCCAGAATCCTGTGCTGCATCAATGTGGTATTTTGCTAGAAGTCTGAGGGGTTATTAATAATCTGATTGTTCTCTCCTGTTGCAAATGTAATCCTGACCACTTTTAACCCGGCAATTTTCTATATTTTTGTGGTATGGCTTTAGCATTGTTATCAGAACAAGATGCTCCCTTTATTGGAAGAGCAGCTCTTGGGGTTTTGGTAACTGTCACTGGGAATGACCAGAGGTGGAGTCTCTTCTCAGCAGCAGTTTTATACAGCCTACATGTAACAAAAATAACAGATTAAAAGCAGGGAAATTTTTGCTATTCTTAAGGGACTCTCCCACTCTGTAGCCTGCTGAGATGGCTTTCAGTGTGTTGTGGGCTGGAAACCAAAGGTTGGTTCTCTGTAATTTGTCTTCCTTTGAGCTGAAAATACTTTCATACATTTGCCCCCTTCTCCCAAGAGATTCCTCTGGTCTTTACCCTTCACACCCTGGTCTTTACAAAACCTAGCTGCTTCAAAGTAGCTAAACTACCTGCCTTCTAAAATCAGTTTAACTCTGCTACATGTTTTTCCTATTAGCCCTCATCTCTTCTGTCCTTACCCTTCAACTCACCTAAGTATTACAGGCACAAAATCAACTAAAAAAAAAAAAAAATAAATTAAGGTTGCACAATGAAGGAGTCAGAAGTTAGGAAATACCAGAAGATGGGTTATGTGACCTCACATCCACCGCCTTGCTTATATTCAGTCTTAAATTATGTAGTCCAGTATTATTTTGTGCTGGCCTTGCTTTATTTTGCATGGCCTCCCCTTTGTTTAGGATACAGGATAAACTTACTCTCAGGATGTGCCAGATTTTTGCAGAACAAGATGCTGAGACTATTCACCACAGAGAAGTATAGGAAACCTTGAGGAAATGGATGCTATTCCTGCCTCTGTTCCAGACAGGATGCATGTGCTGCAGCTGCATCTTTTGTGCATGAGTTCATGGGCATGAGCTCATTTCACACTACCTAACCTGGGTATTAATAACAGTCTAACATGAATCTTTGGGCAGGCTGAAAAACATAGGGGAGAAGAATATGGCGCGTGCTGTTAGCAGGGCTGAGCCACTGGCTCAGAGACACCAACCCAAGTCACTGATGCATCTCTGAAGCTAGTTAGACATATTCAGTGGTCCTATGGGGATACTATGTGATCACTTAGAAGTCATTCGATTTTACAGCTGGCTGCAAGTTTTGCACAAGGTGTTTAGGTCTAGGAAGATACAAGCATTCACATTTGCAGCCAAAGTCCATAGGTGATGTAGTGCTGTGAACAGAGGACCTGTTGCTCAGTTTTATTCCCTTGCTTAAAGGCTGCATGTGTAAGAAATTCAAGGGATTGTATCTAAGACATTGGAATACATCTCTATTTGCAAAATCCCAAATTCCAACTACATTGGTCAAGCAATATAATAGTCTAATTTGTGATAATGTAATTTCACTTCGGTATCTTCTGGCAACTGTAACTGTCCAAGACCATTGACAGAATGAAAGCTGGTGTTTGTTGTCATCTAAATATGTTGAACTAAATCCAAGGATTCAATGGCAATTTGAACAATTAATATAGTGCAAAAAAAAGTTTAGCTCCTTGGTATTTTCAAAATGATCTGCGCAAGCAAGAAGTTATTAACTCATCTGCAACATCAATGGATTTACTTAGCGGAAAGTATAAGGAATCACTTCTCTGGGACGTAGTCTATTCCACACAAATGCTATCAGCAATGATTTGACAACAGTGAGTAGCTTTCAAAATCCTTTGGAAGAGGATGACTAGCAGGAAGGCAAATGAATGCTCCTGCAAGCAAAAACAATGTGACCAAAAAGTCAACAGATTTTTTTTTACTATTTCAGTACAAAATCAACTCTCCCAAGACACAAACCTCTCCCAAACCAAACCTAAAAGCCACAGAAACCTTTAAATATAAAACAACTAAAATAAATCTATTTTTACCTCCTGGAGAAACTATGTACCTCCTGAGCTAAACTAAAAAACAAAGAAAAATGCTACAGTCAGGCTGTACCTCACATGAAAAAATGGAGAAAACAAAGAGAAAAATTACAGGAAATGGAAGGAAAAACTGTTGAACATGGGAAAAGCGAAACTGAAGAGAATATGGAATAAACAGAGTGGAAAGTTGCTGCATCATAAAAATGATTTCCTCTCCAGCAAACCAATAAGCAAGATGACTGATCAGGCTCTGTGTACACAATGCACTATTCAGTCTATCATAGACTACACCTCTGGTCCTAGAATTAAAATGCAACCTAACTGTCCCCCTTTATTAATTACTTTAGGAGATTAATGCATTTACAGAAATACAGACTGTCATAATGCCCCTTCTCCACTCATTTTCCTCTTTACTACCTACCATCACAGTCTGATCCTAATCTTCTTTATGTCACGCCATGAGAACACTGCTAAGTCCCACACATGCCCAGCTCTCTGCTACCGAGATCCAAAACCTGTCTCAGCACAACTCTGTTTCACAGTTTCTCTCAGTCCCTGTGCCCTGTATATTAGGGGACTGCTCTCCACTGCACTGACCACTCAAGCTGAATTAAGCACCAGGCCTCACATAGCTTGCTTAGTCACCAATTTGTTATTGCATGATACCTCTTCCAGAGACTCTTTGCCAGGAGACAACTTGCTAAAGCATGTCTCAGGAGCTTTAAAACATCTGGTTAGCTGCTGTAGGGCATCTCATAGGAACCCACAGCATGTTCATAGCATGCAACCCCTACCTAGTTCAAGGTCACTCTTTCAAGACCTGGTCGAAGAACAGTAGGCTGTGACTGCTCTCATGGTCCCGAGGGACTTTTTTTTTTTCTGGGAAGTGCAGAGTGCCTTGTCCTGCCCCAGGCTGTGCAATGCTGCTGTATTCTGCTTGGGAGAGAGGACACAAGCAAACGAAGCATAGAACACAAGAAATGTCGTGGAGGTAACCTAGGTAGGCTGAGACAGCCTCCTTGCCAGCCAATCCAATGCAATCTGAAGTGGTAAGCACATTAGGAAGTGCTATTTGCCAACCAGAGTGAAGCCCTCAGGGCATGTAGCTATACATAACCGTATCTGCAAACCCATAAAGAAATACATTATCCGATAGGCCCTAAACATCCCTATGCTTCACTAGGCATGTGCAGAGGAAGAAATAGGTCAAAACACACCCACCTAAAGAGCATTGCAAGCAAAACAGCAGGAAGGAGAAGGGGAAACAGTTTGCAAAATTATGGAAAATGAGTCCTGCGCTAGTGGTTTTCATCAGATCAAAAGCAATATTAAACTGAAGATTCCTCCCCTCCACCTTGTTTCCAGCTGTCAAGTTTCCCACTTGTCCTCCCCATCCTTAAAATGGATGACAGTATACTGGCATGACTGCACCTCTACATGCATCCAAAGGTAACCCAAAGTGAATCTTCACAGCACTGAAAAAAGCCCTTCCCACACGGAAAGCAGACAAGAGTTGGTGCTTCCTGCCCTGTTAAGAAACAAACCTCTCAAGACCCAAGTCATCCACCCATCTGACAGGGACATGGCGGTACCCTCCCTGTAGCTCACAGGCACACAGTGGACTGCTGTTCACAGAGGATGCTGGCTGTGGCACCCGGCATGAGGGAAGAATGGGAGGAGAGGTGAGGTGGTGCACAGGAGGGAGTAACCAGCTGGGGGAAGCAGAGGGAGAGGGCAGTCTGCTTCTAGGTCACAGCCCAGGTGCTAAATGCAGATAGGCTCTTGAGCTCAGAGAACAAGAAGTTCTTGAACCTGGGGCTCTGGGTCCCTACCCACTTAACCTTGTGTACTCAGATGACTGACATAAGCCTCTTTTGGAAGATGAAATACCTTTTCCTTTTATGATTCCTGCAGTACTATGCCCGGACTCATTGCTGCTTGTCTCCTTCCAAAGGACAGGCCAGCATGTGAAATACCTTTGCAGTTTCAAGCACAGCTTAATGCCCAGTTTCTTTCTGTGCATTTTTTTAAAAGATCTCTCTGTTATTCCCATAGACTCCCCATTGCACAGCCTATTATTCCAGCCTCCAGATTCCCAACTTTCTGTGTCCTTCGGGCTTCACCTCTACAGCTGAGTGATTATTACAAGCACCAAGGCAGCTACTCCAAGTCTGAGACATACAACCTTTCAGCTTCAAACTCTTCTGTGGCCAGTGTTAACTGGCTTAGATTCCTTTACTGGTTTGGAGCAGCAGCTTTTCCACCAGGTCCTCTTCAGATTGCATATGTGCTTGAAATACGATGCAGCAAGAGAAGACAGAGAACAGGGTTATAAAAGTGATCACATAGCTGTGATTAGACTCCAAGGAGGGTGAGAAGGCCAGGTGAGCCATTATAAATCAGGAGTGGTATAACAGAAGCGGCTTAGAAACCCTGTCATACATGAAGAGCAGGCTAATTTCAATAAGAGACAGACAGGCTGAGAAGGAGACAAGTGCTTTGTATGTTTCTTAGATTCAAGAGTTCAAGTCTTGGATGTAGGTGCAACAGCTGGGAGTATTTTAAATATATTTCTTCCCAAGACTGACTTACTCACTTACAACTTCTGCTAGATAATGACCATTGCTACAGGCCAAACAGTCACTTGCAACAGGTTGGAAGAATCCAGTTGGTACTCCCATGAA